TTCATGTGTTGCTCTGTTGTAACGCATCTGCAGTACAGGGTTCAAATCCTCTTCCGGATTTGCCAAGTCAAATTTGAGGGTATTCCGAGCGGAACACGGCAAAAATAATGCGATTTAGCATTCCCGTAGGGAAAACTTTGCTGTTTAATCAGAATGGAAGTATGAAGTTATTGAAATGAATACATTGTAGAACACTGTTGTAGCGAAACAAACCTACGATTTTTTTAAAAATTTGGCTAAATTTAAATAGAAAAAGTACTCTTTCAGGAAATATTTTTTCCATTTTTTTTAAACTATTTTCCATTTGCTTAACATTAGTTTGTTTCTTTTTTAATCACAAGCATACGTCAATAGGTTTCAGTAGTAACCAATGTGAAGTTGGCTGCGTTGCCCGGTATGCATTATGTTCACCATTTGTAGTGCAAAGAGTTATAGAGATTCTCGAAGATTGGTAAAGATCACGTGAAATTTCTTAACTGCCATTAAAGTTGTCAAACGGACACGGACAAAAAAAATGTGTCCAAATTTAGCTGTCCGTCCGAACACGTTGTTCGGACGCTCGGACAATTGTCCGAATGTCCGAATGATTTTTTCAAGAAATATGTTTTCTAAATTTTTTTTAAAACTACTTTTCGTTAACTTTTTTCGTTTATTTTTTAATCAAAAGAATACGTCAATCGCAACCCAAAGTGGCACAAGCTTGTACCATTTTTTGCATATGAAATTGACGATTAGATGCAGAAAATGGGACATGCTTGTGCCACTTCGTGTTACGACTGACTGTAGGTGACTGGGCAACCGCTTTGACGTGGCGCTGTCAACAATATTGCCCCCCATTTATTCACACTTCGTTGCACTACTTTCATACGCAATATTGCTCATTATGTATCGGCTATTTTCTTGAATATAAAACGTTGAATTGAATTCGTGATGAAAGTCGTATCGACGATTCCACACGAAATCGACCAAGAATTGGATCGACCCTCTCCGAATTGGCTGAAAATTTGCTTGGAGTCTTGTTTTCGGTAGAAAATGAGAAAACCAAAATCTTAGGCCTGTAAGTGGCCTACATTTCTGAGTTCACCCAGTGTAAATTTTGCAAAAAATTGAAAAAATCGAAAAAAAGGGTTTGCGCCAACTGAAAACTAACTAAGAAGTAGTTGACACATTACCAAACCATTGGTACCGTTGGAAAGATAATTGATGGGGATTTTGACCATTCGCTTGTTTTATGGAGAAATGTCGATTTCAGACCAAATTTATAGGTAAACTGATGTTGAAATGTTCATATTTTCATGTATTTTGACGAAAAAATAGCAGTTTTCTCAGATCAAAATGTCATAAGAAGCCATTTTCGACCATTTTTCTCATAAAAACGGTGATAAATGATATATGATTCACTTGCCGAGTCCAAATACACGAACTGAATGGGGGTTATACACGAAATTTTATTTTTCCATCTGAAGCGGCGCGACATGAGCGTAAAAAAAACGCAAAAAAAACATGTCAAAAAACCCCACTCTTTTGAGATATTTCACTTTTAGTACTTTGACTCCATTTTTGGAGGCCCCAATGGGGTCAAAGTGGGTAGGTGACTTCGTAATTTTTGTAGCCCCATCAATTATCTTTCCAACGGTACCAATGGTTTGGTAATGTGTCAACTACTTCTTAGTTAGTTTTCAGTTGGCGCAAACCCTTTTTTTCGATTTTTTCAATTTTTTGCAAAATTTTCACTGGGTGAACTCAGAAATGTAGGCCACTTACAGGCCTAAGATTTTGGTTTTCTCATTTTCTACCGAAAACAAGACTCCAAGCAAATTTTCAGCCAATTCGGAGAGGGTCGATCCAATTCTTGGTCGATTTCGTGTGGAATCGTCGGTATATTTTACATGAAAATGAAAAATGGCATATATTTCCGAAAATATTCGATAATTTTTTCTGAGAATTCAATATTATGTTCTTCAAATGACATACATGGAGCACGCATTTTATTTGGCTACATAGTTCATAAGTATATTTTATAACACTACGAAAAACAACATTTTGTTTTAAGAATAGCGGTTGGGTCCAACATTTTTGCACGGTAGTGTACGTTTAATGACTATCCAATAAATCAAATTCCGTTTGTTTGAATTCTCTACTTTCAACCCATGAAATTATCAATGCAAAACACTTTTTTTCATTTCAGCGTGAGATCATAGACCAGATAGAGAGAGAGAGAGAAATCTGATTATTTGCACTAATTTAATGCTCTTTTCGTGCTCTATTTTCTTCGTGTCTAAAATGTCGTTCTTAATGAAAATTACATTTTTCAAAAAATCAAATTAAAAGCGTGAATTTACGTTATGGTAATGGCAGGAATAGTACCAAATGCGTGATAAAACTGGTCCGATCGATGGTTATTGCGATATTTTTACCAATAACAATATATTGTAATTAGCATAACAGGAAAATGAGGGGCCAATGAAGCTGAGCGCACTGCTGTAATGTTCATCGTAGCGGACAGTTTTAAATGAAATGACCATTGAAATAAGCATTCCTGAAACGAACACTACATTAATTCTAATCACAATTGGCTTTTAGCATATTGACATGACCAAAACTGAATCATAAACGACTTTACCATGATATGGCTTTTTTGTAGAAAAAATTTAATGGAAATTGTCGGTCATATTTGCATGGGCGAAACGTCCACTTCTGTATTCGAACTACTCCGTACAAACGAACAATGTTTTAGAAAGATGTCGCTCATTTTGATCATTATCCATACGGTTTTGGGTTTGAATAACACTTAACACTTCAATGGTCGAGCTGTGGAAATTTCTTTATCAAATCGTTTGATGATGCATTTGCAATGGTTTCTTTTATAATAGCATATTCCATGTTGGAAGTTTTACGCTCCATTCACTACATTGTGTGGAATGAGGGACCGGTCGATGTACTCATGCTTGTAAAAATTCTTGGAAATAGCAAATCCACCCACCTTATTGGATTATAATACACGATAAATATTACTCTCATTTAACGTTATTTTCTATGCATTGATTGAATGAACTTTAAGTGTCACTTTAAACTTTTTATAATAAAATAAAAAGCACAATAACAACCGACGTTAACTATCCCAACCATAGGATATGGCGACCAAACTATTATTCAAGATGCAATCTAGTACAAAGAGTAGAATTAACTAACATCCATTTGAATTTTCAAATTGCTTGCTTACTCAAAGCGAATGCTGAATATATCAGTTCGAGTGTCATAATGACCACACGATTTTCGTGACTACTTTCACACGATTATAATCAAGAAAGTAGACTCTCTGCAGCGCCGTCCATTAGTGACGGCGAAATCGCCTGTAAATAGCTGGAAGTGATTTCGACAAATTGCGAAATACTGCATAATAACACCGATTAGTACTGAATTTTGTCATTATAAATCGACGGCGCTGCAGAATGTCTTGACACAAATTTTCTATGAGATTATAAGCGTGTGACTACTTTAGTATCGGCAATACAATTTTATTTAACGAAACCAATTTATTTCCGTAAGATTAGATTAGATGGATTTTTCTCTGTCTCCCTATAAAATCGAGCTTCATTTTTCCGATGATAAAATATTGCATTTAGAAAGTCAAAACTACTCTTCGCATCATAATTTCCTATCATTTCAAATTGATCATAAAATATTTTATGATTTTCATATGTCCATATATTTATATCATCTCCCGTGTAAGCGCATATCATTAGATAAATTACCACATTCATCGCGTTGATGCTATTTTTATTTGATGCTATTGCAGAGATGAGGTGAACTGACGATTTAGCGCGCTTTTTTTCATGAAAAAAAAACTCGTTTTGCATGGATACAATCTGAGCGTGTTGTTTTTGTGTGAATTCGAATACATCGATTATAGAAATGCTCATTGCTATGCTGAACTATTCCATGCATTTCTTTAATCCCGAAATATTGAAATCATACTGTGGGCAATGGGCATTCTATTGAGTTTGCTGTATTATTTGTATTTGAGTCAAGGGGCGAATTACTACTGAAAAATTGAATTCAGTACTTTTCAGTGGTTTTCAGTGTTTTCAGTGTTCAATGTATTAGTATATGAAAGTACTGAAAATGATTTATTTGCACTTCAATGATGAGCAAGGTTGGCATATTTACAAAATTTTTAAGACGCGTATGTAATTCACGTAGAAAACTGTAAATTACGTTTTCTACATGCAAAAAACCTCTTGGATGTAGAAAACCTCTAAACTACCAAAACTACATACACAGTCAGTCAAAAAAGGGTTCGTTCACCCCTTTTTTGCAATAACTTTGATTTTGTCAGAAAACTATGACGTGTAGCTCAAAAACTCCAACTTAAATGAAAAAAATCAAGGAACTTCACGAAAGAAAAATGGCGAAGTTAACAAAGAAGTGTGTCCCGTTCTGTATGGATCTTGGGCCATTTTGTATAGAGTTCTAACGCATATCAACTTAAAGGGTAATGTGTGTAGATAAATTATATATAGATACCCAACCCCTAAATTGTGAGGAAAGGGGTTAAAATTGGGGATATGTTGGCAACCCCAAAATAAAGGTATCACTTCTGTTGTATACGTGTCTAAAATCTACTGCTACATTAGACACATTCACGCCAAACGAATAAAGACGTAACAGAGCGACATCTCATATGTCAAACACAAACGAACCATTTACATTTTAGCACATCAATAAACGATTCATTCTATTCGCAAGCATCAAACAAGCAAGTCTTTCATTTCTACGAGTACATCACAATTGGCGACAAAAGGGCATTTCAAAGACGAACGAAACGTGCATTATTTTTGCAAAGTACCGTATCGAAGGACAAAGTTTTATTAAAACAAGAATTTTATTCTTAGATCTCGATCTGTTCAACAGAAAAGTTTTATTGAAACACGAATTTTATTTGGAGATCTCAGACCATTTTTACACAATAATTTTTATTTTTTGCGAATCGTATCACAATGCCTAACGAAACAATCACCGACAAAACTGAGAGAACCGTAATACAATCCACCACCATCAGCGAATTCAACGTGAATGATGACAAATGGAAAATTTGGAAACAACGCTTGGGAATTCATTTTGCCGAGATCAATTGCACCGACGAAAATGCGATTTTGTTGAAATCCGTCGGAACGCCAGCACTTGAGTTATTGACGAATTTATGCGATCCAATCGAGCCGATGAAGAAGGAGTTTACCGAATTACTCGACATTTTGGATGAACACTACACGCCGCCGACCATCGTATACCACGAACGGAAAATTTTCCATGACGCAATACGTGACGATAGTGAGAGTGTTTCAGCATGGTATGCACGCATAAAGAAACTGGCATTGCAATGTAAGTACGGAACCGATTTGGATGTGATGGTCAAAGACAAATTCATCACGCAACTTCCCGAGAAAATTTTCACACGATTGTGCGAGGAAGATGAAAAGTTGACACTGGCGAATGCATTTAAGAAGTCACTCATTTTGGAGACGAAATTCGCATTGAGAAAAGAGGGCACGGATTCCGATGTTAACCTCGTTCGATTGCCACGTGCCAACCAAAACCAACGAAACCGTAACTCGAGCAACAACAACAACAACAGCAGCAAGCAACCACATGGCAAGAAAACCGCGTGTACCCGATGTGGATGGAAGACACATGAGGCGAATAACTGTGCTTACAAAGAAGCCACGTGCCATTCCTGCTCGAAGAAGGGACATCTGAGCACCGTTTGTCGTAACAAAAACAAGAAAAATTTCAATTTTATTGATCCAAATTCTAATAACGATAATTCAGTTTCATATGTAAATTCTTTTTCTGATGGTAATTTGTTTGATTTTCGTTTATACAGTTTAGCCGATGACGAATCCAAAGAATTGTACTGGTTGAAGGTTGTGTTCGGAGGCACCGAGATGGATATTGCTTGTGACACGGGGGCACCGCGCACATTTGTTCCAAGGACATTTTATGAGAAGCATTTATCACAGTATCCGCTCACGAAATGTAACATCCCATACCGCAATTATGGAGGCATCAAAATTGATTTAATAGGTGAGTGTTTACCAAGTATTACTTATAGTGGCACCAATCGACGTATTACAGTTGTTGTGACCGATGCAAATGCACCACCGTTGCTAGGTAGAAATTTTCTACGTGCGTTTGGGTTTTTACTAGTTCAATCGAATCCAAATAATGAAATTCACGTTCATTCGATTGAGTCAGAGACTCAACATTTTCCCATCATTGTGAATCAAATTAAAAGTGAATTTTCGGATCTTTTTGATGGTCAGTTGGGTAAATATAACGTTTGTGAAGTTTCTTTACAAATTGATAGTGACGCTAAACCAATTTTTTGCAAACCGCGATCAATCCCAATTGCATGGAAGTCAGAAATTGAACAAAATCTACGCGATTTAGTTGCAAATGGCGTACTTGAACAAGTTGAAACGTCGAAATTGGGAACAACAGTTGTTCCTGTTCCGAAACCAGATGGCAAGCTACGTGTTTGTGGCGATTATAAAACGACTCTAAACAAGTTTCTTGTTGATGTCAAATATCCGTTACCTCTCATTGAAGAAATATTCACATCTCTTCAAGGTGGAGAATTGTTCAGTAAATTGGACATGAGTGCTGCATATAATTAATTGTGTTTAGACGAAGAATCCCAATTGTTGTGCACATGGAGCACACACATTGGCACATTCAAAATGAAACGTCTTCCTTTCGGCATTAAGCCAGCAGCCGCAATTTTTCAAATGCACATGGAAAATTTATTAAGGGGTATCGACGGAGTTGTTGTATATCAGGACGATATTACCGTCACTGGTAAAACTTTCAAAGACCATCTTTCCAATTTAAAAGCAGTCTTGAAGAAAATGTCTGACGCCGGTTTGAGGTTAAATATCGATAAATGTATTTTCTTTCAGAAACAAATTTCATATCTTGGTTTTACCATTGATAAAGACGGGCTGAATAAAAATAAAGAAAAGATCTCAGCTATTTTGGATGCGCCCATTCCGAAAGACATTCATGAGTTGAGAGCATTTATCGGCATGGCTAATTATTACTCACGTTTTATTAGGGATTTCGCTAGTAAAATGTATCCATTATATTGTTTGCTTCAAAAGGATGTTCGATACAAATGGAACGAGCATTGTCAACGAGCATATGATTTAATCAAGCAAGACATTTGTTCTGACCAAGTGATGACTCATTT